CCCACACATCTATGGGTCCTGCCCTATATCTATGGGTTCCAGCTGTCCCATCCCCACCCCTATGGGCCCTCCCTCCCTCCCTATGGGTCCTACCCCCCATCTATGGGTCTCAACCAGAACCTATGAGTCTGCCCCACACATCTGTGGGTCTGCCCCCCAGGTGCGCAGCCGGGCCGACGGCCACCTCTACGCCCTCAAACGGAGCCGTCGGCGTTTCCGGGGCCCCACGGATCGGGAGCGACTCCTGGAGGAAGTGACCCATATGCGGCGTGTGGGGCAGCACCCCCACATCCTACCCCTTCTGTGGGGCTGGGAGCAGCGAGGCCGCCTCTACCTTCTCACCCACTTCTGCCCCTGGGGGTCGCTGGGGGAGCTGTGGGGCAGACTTGGGGGGCAGGGGATGGGGGAATGGCGCTTGTGGGGCTACTTGTGGGACCTGCTGCTGGCCCTGCGGCACCTCCACGCCTGCCCCATAGCGCACCTGGACCTCAAACCCGCCAACATCCTCCTGACCCACGGTGGCTGCCGCCTGGCCGACTTCGGCACCGCTGTTGCCCCACGGCTGCCCTATAGCAGCCCACAAGTGCCCCACATTGACCCGTGGCCAACCCAGGGTGACCCACGACTGACCTGCACTGCCCCACAGATGACCTGCAGCGACCCACAGCCGACCCATGGCACTGCCAGTGCCCCAGAGCTGACCCATAGCGACCCACAGCTGCCTCACACTGCCTCACAACCTACCTACACTGCCCCACAGCTGAGCCACGGTGCCTCACAGCCACCCCACACCTTCCAGCTCCGCAATTATGGGGCCGGTGACGCCCGTTATGCGGCCCCTGAGGCACTTATGGGGCAGGGGGGACCCCCCTCTGACATCTTCAGCTTGGCCTTGACCATCCTGGAGTTGGGGGGCAGCCAGCGTCTGCCGCCGTGGGGTGAGGGGTGGCAGGAGCTGCGGCGTGGGGGGCTGCCCCAGAGCGCAGCGCCAGGTATGTGGGGCAGGGTGGGGGGCTATAGGGCAGGGATGTAGGGGCGTGGGGAAAGGCTGTGGGGCAGGGTGTGGGGATATGGGGCAGAATGGAGGCTACGGGGCAGGGATGTGGGGGTGTGGGGCGGAGCTATGGGGCAGGTTGTGGGGCTGTGGAGCAGGGTGGGGGGCTATGGGGCAGGGATGTGGGGGTGTGGGGAAAGGCTGTGGGGCTGTGGGGCGGAGCTATGGGGCAGGATGGGGGCTGTGGGGCAGAGCGCCGAGTCGCATAGTTGGCCCCACACCTTTGCCCCATAGGGCTGTCGGAGGAGCTGCGGAGGGTCCTGGGGGCCATGATGGAGCTGGACCCACAGCGTCGCCCCACGGCGGCTGAGCTGCTGACCTGGGGAGCAGTGAGAAGGGCTGGACGCTGGAGGGTCCTGACCCGTTGGGCCGACGCGGGGCTGCGCGGGATGGAGGCCCTGGGGGAGGTCAGACCCATGGCGTGACCCACGGTGCGGTGTCTTGCCCCACATCCTGTATTGCTGTCCATCCCATATCCCTGCCCCATAGTGCTTTCCCAGTCACCCTATAGTGGCTGTGGGGCACCCATGGTGCAGTGTCCTGCCCCACATCCCTGCCCCACATCCTCTATCTCTGCCCCATAGTGCTTTCCCAGTCACCCTGTGGTGGTTATGGGGTGTGCTATGGGGCATGCTTTGGGGCTGAGACCCACGGTGTTACCCACAACATGGTGTCTTGCCCCATATCCCCACCCTGCATCCCATATCCCTGCCCCACATCCCACATCCCTGCCCCACAGCGCTTTCCTGGCATGCTATAGGGCTCAGACCCAAAGCGCAGTGTCCTGCCCCACATCCCTGCACCACAGCTCATCCTCTCTCCCCCACCTCCCCCACAGGCATTCCGGCTGGCCCTTTGGCGGCTATGGGGCACGCTATGGGGCACGTTATGGGGCCCAGCCACCCCTCCCAGTTCCCCCCTACCCCACACACCCCACAGTAGCTCGGAGGAGGAGGACGACGACAAAGATTCACAGAGGTGTGTGGGACAATGCTGTGGGGCACAGGGGGATGCTGTGGGGCAGGGGCCATGCTGTGGGGCAGAGGGGGATGCAGTGGGGCAGGAGGGACGCTATGGGGTGGGGTACATGTTATGGGGCAGGGAACACGCTATGGGCCAGGGGAGGTGCTAGGGGGTGGGGAACATCCCACTCCACATCCCCCCGCCCGACGGCCGGCTCTGCCTCACAGCCGCCCCCCAACTCTCCCCCACAGGTCGCCCAGCCCCATGGTGGGGCTGCGACGGGCCCTGACCTTCGAGGAGGAGGAAGAGGAGCCGCCCCATGTCCTCCCCCAATAAAGCTTAGTTACGGGTCTGAGCCCCACATCTGCCCCCCAAGTGGGAGCCTGCGTGGTTTTGGGGTACAGTTTTATTTGTTGGGGGGGTGATCTATGGGTCTGGGGGGAGGGGTCTCTGTGGGTCCAGCCCCTCCCCCTGTCTCAGGCCACCTCAGTTTTTTCAGGGCCTCAATAAATTCGTGGGGGGAAGAGGGGTAGGATGGTCAGACACAGCTTTGGGGGGAAAAACAGGGATTTTTGGCGTCAAAGGGGTAGGGTTTGGGGTGAAAAGTGAAGATTTGGGGGTAAAAAATGGGGATTTGGGGTCAAGGGGGAGGTTGGGGTAAAAAACAGGGATTTGGGGGTTGAGGAATGAGATTAGGGGTGAAACAAGAGGGGGTTGGGTCAAAGGGGTGGTTTTCGGGTAAAAAAACTCTCTGATTATTACTCCCTGTTAGTATTTAAGGCGGGTGGTGATGAGGGGGTCAGCAGGAGGTCAGGGTCAATTAAGGGAGATGTTGGAGCCTGGGGGTGGGCGCTCCAGGGGGCAGGGGGCGAGGTGTGATCTCCTCTGTCCCTCCAGGAGCCAGGGCAGGAACAGCAAGAGGCAACAGGTCAACCCGTGGCTGTGGGGCTGGTGTTACCAGCAGGGCCCTGGGGTTTTGATCCCGGGCGGCCGTACGGGACACCCGGCCTGCTGGGAGCAGGGGGGATGCACCTGGGAAAAGAATTTAGGGGCAGGGCTCATTGACAGGGCTTTGAACTGGGTCTGAGGGGGAAGGGGAGCTCGCTGGGCCTGCGCGGGTCAAACCCGAGGGGAGCCGCGCTGGGGCTCAAAGGATGCGCGGCTCGCGAGGGCTCTCGCTCTGACATTTCATCTGAGGAAAGGAACAGACATTTAGAGAATTCTGCTGGCGAACAAAGGGAGAGCCCTGTCCCGAAAGGGGAAAAGGGCACTGGGCCAGAGCTCATGGACAGAGCTTGAAACTAGAAGGGAAGGGGGAAGGGGATAAAACCAGCCCCTCTGGCAGTGAGCCTGGGGGGAAAGGGCCAAGGATGAGGGTGAAATCGGGAGCCCAGTTCAAATGCATCTGCGCTAACACACGTAGCGTGGGCAACAAACAGGAGGAGCTGGAGGCCATTGTGGGGCAGGACAGCTATGATGTAGTCACCATCACGGAAATGTGGTGGGACGAGCCATGGCTGTGATGCCGTGAAAGACGCAATCAGGACTCAATAGCCGGGATGACTATTAAGCAGGTATTCTTTATTGCAGCGCTGGACGCACAGGGGATCGCTCCTCCAAATGTGCGTGCCACCTGAAACATTTCTCTTGAACTTATACAATGAAGTATTCCCTATTCATAAGGCGCCTATACATATTCATAACCTGTCCCCGAAAGGGCAGTCTTTATTATAATGAGTCTCCGCCTTTAATTCCTCCCAGCTGCTCATGCGCAGTGCTTCCTGGTGGTCGTGGGCCGGGGTCTCGGGATGAAGACTGTATGTCTTCCTCACTGTGTACTTTTCACCTTGGGATGAAGGCCTTATGTCTTCCTCGCTGTGTACTTTTCACCTTTTGGGATAATTGCCTCCTCAACAGAGCTGGGTTCCTTCTTTGAATCCCCTAGCTCCCAGCAAGGTCGACATGACAGTTTTACTGCTTCAAAACATCCTTCCTTGTTTAAACATCCTTCCAGTAATTCATTAACATACCTTTGAGCCCCCCATAAAATAACATTGTGCTGGTCTCAGGATTACTCCCTAGATGCCTGCCTTCCTGTTTTTGTAGCTCTGCAGGGGTTGCAGGCCCCTGTTTGTGGTCAGTCAGGCTACATTTGCTAAGTCATACCTGTCTTTATTCTTTAATTCAGCTGGAACACTGCGATGAATGGCTATAAGCTCCTCAGAAGGAATAGGCAAGGAAGGAAAGGGGCTGTGGCTCTGTACGTTAGGGAGTGTTTTGACTGCACAGAGCCAGATTCCAGAGATGATGAAGTTGAGTGTTTATGGGTAAGGGTGAAAGGGAAGGCTAACAAGGGAGATTTTGTGCTGGGAGTCTGCTATAGACCACCCAACCAGGATGAGCAGGTTGATGAGGTATTCTATAAGCGGCTGGCTGCAGTCTCGCAAACGCCAGCCCTTGTTCTGGTTGGGGACTTCAACTTACCAGACATCTGCTGGAAATACAACACAGCAGAGAGTAGGCAGGCTGGGAGGTTCCTCGAGTGTATGGAGGATAACTTCCTGAGGCAAATGGTAGGCGAGCCTACCAGGGGAGGTGCCTTGTTAGACCTGCTGTTGACAAACAAAGAAGGGCTAGTGGGGGATGTGGAGGTCGGAGGCCGTCTTGAACTTGGCGATCATGAAATGGTCAAGTTTTCAATTCTTAGTGAGGTGAGGAAGGGGGTTAGCAAAACCTCCAGCTTGGACTTCTGGAGGGCGGACTTTAGCCTGTTAAGAAACATGGTTGGGAGAGTCCCTTGGGAGATAATCTTGTGGGGCAAAGGGGTCCAGGAAGGCTGGACATTCTTCAAGAAGGAAATCCTAGAGGCCCAGGAGCAGGCTGTCCCCATGAGGCGCAAGATTAAAGGGAGGGGAAATTGGCTGGCCTGGATGAACAAAGAACATTTGATGGGTCTTAGGGAAAAAAGGAGGGTTTACCCCTTTGGATGAAGGGACAGGCAATTCAGGAGGAGTACAGAGATCTTGTTAGGTTATACAGAGAAAAAATTAGGAAGGCAAAAGCCCAGCTGGAACTCAGCAAAAAAAAGTCACAACAAAAAAAAAGTTTTTATAAATACGTCAACAAAAAGAGTCAGGGAGACTCTCCATTCCTTACTGGATGCAGGGGGAAACATTGCTACCAAGGACGAGAAGGCTGAGATACTTCATGCCTTCTTTGCTTCTGTCTTCAGACATTCTTCAAGAAGGAAATCCTAGAGGCCCAGGAGCAGGCTGTCCCCATGAGGCGCAAGATTAAAGGGAGGGGAAATTGGCTGGCCTGGATGAACAAAGAACATTTGATGGGTCTTAGGGAAAAAAGGAGGGTTTACCCCTTTGGATGAAGGGACAGGCAATTCAGGAGGAGTACAGAGATCTTGTTAGGTTATACAGAGAAAAAATTAGGAAGGCAAAAGCCCAGCTGGAACTCAGCAAAAAAAAGTCACAACAAAAAAAAAGTTTTTATAAATACGTCAACAAAAAGAGTCAGGGAGACTCTCCATTCCTTACTGGATGCAGGGGGAAACATTGCTACCAAGGACGAGAAGGCTGAGATACTTCATGCCTTCTTTGCTTCTGTCTTCAGTAGTCAGACCAGCTACCCCCAGGGTGTTCAGCCTCCTGGGCTTGGAAGATAAAGATGGAGAGCAGAACAATGTGGGCTCAGTTAAAGGTCCCTCACATCGTTAAGATTTACTTGCATCTGGAGCAACAGTGTGTGCCAGTAGTGACCTTGAGAGCAGGGGATGAGTGAGAAATACAAGTGTTGCATCCTGAAGCACATCCTGACAAAAACCAGCACAGTCTGGGAACCAAAACTTGTCTTGATAGTAGAATAATTGTTATTGTGATAAGCTCAGTAGAAGGTAAAAAATATTTTTATAAGTCCATGATTGGGTATTATCAGGGGGAAACATTGCTACCAAGGACGAGAAGGCTGAGATACTTCATGCCTTCTTTGCTTCTGTCTTCAGTAGTCAGACCAGCTACCCCCAGGGTGTTCAGCCTCCTGGGCTTGGAAGATAAAGATGGAGAGCAGAACAATGTGGGCTCAGTTAAAGGTCCCTCACATCGTTAAGATTTACTTGCATCTGGAGCAACAGTGTGTGCCAGTAGTGACCTTGAGAGCAGGGGATGAGTGAGAAATACAAGTGTTGCATCCTGAAGCACATCCTGACAAAAACCAGCACAGTCTGGGAACCAAAACTTGTCTTGATAGTAGAATAATTGTTATTGTGATAAGCTCAGTAGAAGGTAAAAAATATTTTTATAAGTCCATGATTGGGTATTATGGGGGAGTAGGTTTGTGTCTTAGTGTATATAAGTCTCTCTGTGTAGCAGTAAAGGTGGTTGAATTGGATTTTTGGATTCGCTTACTGCATGACCTACGAGTCCATGATTTCTTCATACGCCACAGAACACCCCCATAACCCAGGAGGAAGTAGTTAATGATTTGCTTATGCACCTGGAGACGCATAAGTCTATGGGGCCGGATGGGATTCACCCAATGGGTACTTGGGGAGCTGGTGGGAGAGCTCACCAAGCCTCTCTCCATTATCTATCAACAATCCTGGTCAACAGGAGAGGTGCCAGATGACTGGAGGGTGGCTAACAGGACACCCATCTACAAGAAGGGCCAGAAGGAGGATTTGGGAAACTATAGGCCTTTCAACCTGACCTCGATACTGGAAAGATCATGGAGAGGATCATCTTGAGTGAGCTCTCGTGGCAATTTCAGGGCAGCCAAGGGATCAGGGCCAGCCAGCATGGCTTTATGAAAGGGAGGTCTTGCTTAACCAACTTGATCTCTTTCTATGATCATGTGACCCACCTTCTCCATTCAGGAATGGCTGTGGACGTTGTCTACCTGGACTTTGATAAGGCCTTTGACACCATCCCTCACAGTGTTCTCCTGGAGAAGCTGGTGAATCCTGGCATAGACAAGTGTACTCTTCACTGGGTTAAAAACTGGCTGGATGGCCATGCCCAGAGAGTTGTGATTAATGGGGTGAAATCCGGTTGGCGGCCAGTCACCAGTGGTGTCCCTCAGGGCTCGGTTCTGGGGCCAGTCTTGTTTAATATTTTTATTGATGATCTAGACAAGGGGATTGAATGCACCCTCAGTAAGTTTGCACATGACACCAAACGAGGTGGGAGTGTTGATCTGCTTGAGGGTCGGAAGGCT